CACCAGTCCCGATCCAGGCGTCCAACCCTATTACACGGTTTCCGTCATTCTCTCTACATCGGCAACGGTCCCTGCCACGTTAGAGGTACCCCTTACAAAAAAATGGAATTTTTTTCCGACCCCTATCGTCTAAAACGATATACTTTTCTAAAATTTTGACCGGAAGTCCCAAAATCGGGGAGGTGAACAGTCAGGGCGTAACAACACTCTGAATAAGCGGTCATATAAATAGGAATCCACGATAAGGTAACATACGGTAGGTGCGAGTAGTTTAACTAAAATATAAAATGAAACACCGAAACTCAATAAATTTATTTAAGATTCATCGCTTTGGAGTGTATTTTTACCTTGACAGGATATTGAAACTTGACTTTTTTTTAAATATATTGTTTATATATTTTTAACTTTATATTTTTAACACCTACGGAAATTTGATTAGGTAATAATATTCTTCCACTTTTACGTTCAAAATACTCTAAAAATAATTTACATGCATAATTTTGCTAAAAATGAACTAAATTTTTATCTTCTCAATTAGTTTAACAATTGCGAAAAAAGCTCGGCGTTTTATTCTACCATTTTGATACTCCATGTTTAAACTATTTTTAAAATTTACATTGCCTATCCATTAGATTCATTTTAATAAATTGCGACGTGTTTTTTTTCTTAAAAGAATGTATAATATTATTTCAATAAAGTAATAAAATAACTAATTCGTAAAAGTTTTTTAAATTATATTTTGTTCCATTTGTAAGTGAAAACAACAGCAAAAGACAATAGAATATAAACGGCTGCTGATTAAAAGTCAACAAAGTTTTACTAGCCGTGTATTTTATTTCACATTAATTACTTTGTGGGCATTGCTAATCGGGTTTTGTGACAACTGTATCCCTCATCCATCACCCATAGATTAAATTCGGTCACTGCCATTGAAATCAATAGGTCCATTTATCCCTCAATGCAGACATTCTCCAAAAATCCAAATGTCGAAAAATGAAGAAAATACAATGAAGCAAATAGGATATGTATCTTATAAAATTTATTTTATTGTTTTAATTTAAATTAGTTTTAAATTAAGTCATGAAGATCAATTATACTTAATATATTTTTGACTAATGGCGTAGGAATGATCAGTAAATCGAAACAAATAATAATGTGTGGTATTTATTGACCTTTAATTAATGATTATTTGGAGATCGGGAGATGCAGTCAGGTGAGACGTGGTTGTAGAAAAACATTTTCTTTATCGTGCCAACGTTTCGATCATTAGTGAGATCATCTCGAGGGCCTGAGATAAATATTGTTTAAATGTTCAGGCCACGATCTCCAAATAATCATAAATAATAATGTGTGGTGTTTATTGACCGTTTGTTAATGATTATTTGGAGATCGTGAGATGCGGTATGGTTTGACGTAGGTTTTATAAAAACATTTTCTTTATCGTGCCAACGTTTCGATCTTTACTGAGATCGTCTTCAGGGCCTGGGATTTATAAACATTGTTTAAATTATACAAATACATGTAGGATGTGAAAAAATAAATTTATACAATCATAGAAATTTTATACTCAATCAAAGTATTTGTGTGTGATGATATGTGTCATTACTGTGTGTCGTGTTGAGAGTGCCAGTGAGATATTAATGTTTTTAGGTTATATTCGTTGCATTTTGAAGGATTGGGAAAGAAGTAGTGGTAGAAATCCATTTGTACATGAGGAGTCGGCTTCTTTCAGGTGAATGGGAAAAAATGGGTAATGATGTTGATTGGGATTCGGGTTGCGGTCTTCAAACATACAATGTTATTATATCAACGCCCAAGCTTTCGACAAGTTTTATTGCCTTCTTCAGGGGATCTACAGAGACATAGGGACATAATCATTTAGACAGTTATAAATTGTATAAATAGTTATAAAATATCAGTTTTTTGTTACTTACAGATACAAAGTCAAATCGTAAACACATTGCACATTCCACGATATGTATACAAACAAACTATATACATATATAATAAATAAATAAATAAATAAAAACCTCTTGTTAACAGCCTCTTACATATATAGGCATTTTTTAAAAATCAGTAACAATTACTTAATAAACAATATGCTTTTGGTACATAAATATCACAGGCGTTTTGACTAGAAAATTGTGTTTATCACGTTATCTGGTGGGAGGTTCCCCACACTATCACCTAATGATAACAATCATTTCCCACAATTTTTAAACAAGATCTTAATTTCTAATACATTGGTAATTCTATGTTATCACAGCCTGTTATAATATATAAATAAATAAATAAATAGATAAATAAATAAAGTATGATTGCAATGATGAAGAAAGGCCGGGAACAGCACTATCCAAACATACACACGCTACGAAGCATAATTTTGACTTCGATGGAGTCAAAATTGTGGCTTCTGAACAAAATACAGGTCGTAGACTTTTGAGGGAAATGATATCTATTCATCAGGACAACATGGCCTGTAATTTAAAAACAGATTTGAATAATTTAAGTGTGATGTACAGTGGGATCCTAGAAAAAGATAAGGTCTCTCCCAAAAGATCGTAACAATACTTGCGTACATATTTATTTATTTATTTATTTATTTATTTATTTATTTGTATATTATAACAGGCTGTGATAATATAGAATTACCAATGTATTAGAAATTAAGATCTTGTTTTTAAAAATTGTGGGAAATGATTGTTATCATTAGGTGATAGTGTGGGGAACCTCCCACCTGATAACGTGATAAACACAATTTTCTAGTCAAACGCCTGTGATATTTATGTACCAAAAGAATATTAATTGTTAAGTAATTGTTACTGGTTTTAAAAAATGCCTATATATGTAAGAGGCTGTTAAGAAGAGGTTTTTATTTATTTATTTATTATATATGTATATAGTTTGTTTGTATACATATCGTGTAATGTGCAATGTGTTTACGATTTGACTTTGTATCTGTAAGTAACAAAAAACTGATATTTTATAACTATTTATACAATTTATAACTGTCTAAATGATTATGTCCCTATGTCTCTGTAGATCCCCTGAAGAAGGCAATAAAACTTGTCGAAAGCTTGGGCGTTGATATAATAACATTGTATGTTTGAAGACCACAACCCGAATCCCAATCAACATCGTATGAAAGCTGGTTGATCGCACAACAAACATTAGTCTCAAATGGGTAATGGTTCGGCCCGATTATCCTTTCAGCATTATATAAACCGGGATAATTAGGGAAAGGAAAGCCAAATTGTTGAAGAATTAGACTATGTAGAAATGTTTGATGTGTCGAATGTGATGATTGTTTTATATGTTATATGTTTTGTGAGATTGTTGTTGTTATGTTCAATATCAATAACATACATATATCATCATCATATCACATAAAACATATAAAACAATGTGTAGAGATTAGTGACCGTTAATCTATAGTTATTCAGATATCGTGATATGCGGTCGGGAGTGATGTAGGTTTCAGAAAAACATTTTCTTTATCGTGCCAACGTTTCGATCTTTTATTGAGATCATCTTCAGGGCTCAAAGTGTTTGTCTTCAGTGTAATTGTGCCATCCTTGTGTGTCGTGTTGAGAGTGCCATTGATTCTAAAATGTCTAGCATTGTTTAAATTCGTTTTTTTCCCCAAATCCTACACATATTTGTATAATTTAAACAATGTTTACAAATCCCAGGCCCTGAAGATGATCTCAATAAAGATCGAAACGTTGGCGCGATAAAGAAAATGTTTTTCTAAAACCTACATCACAGCAGACCGCACCTCACGATCACCAAATAATCTTAAATAATAATTAACAAAAATTTATTTCTTAGATATTGATAAATTCAAAAATCTTTCGATGCTCGTTAGTTTAACCACACCTAGTTAATTGGAAATAAAAATTAATATAAAAAGACGGTTTCAATTGTAAACAATTTGCAGATTATGAAGAAAAATTACGGTGTCCATGATTTGGGCGCTATAGATACTAACCTCAAATCATTTCAGCTTTGCGTGATAGTGTCGAGCCCCGTACTAAATTGACTTCACTTTCGATAATCTAAGGATTTTGTCTATTCATCCAACCGTCCATTATCGATTTCAAACTAATCAAGAAGCCATCTTTAGACCTTAATCCACACCGGTAAAACTTTACGAGATCGGTTGGTTAGAAATTAGAAAAAAGAAAGTTAAGAAATTGTTCAATAAGAAGAGTGGATAAACTGAAAAGAAATTAACTCTCCTCTTCAAAAGTACGGATAATTGAAGAAAAACTGTTTCATTATACAGACCAAACTTGCTGTGTTTAAAAATACAAATTTAGAACAAAAATACGTTTAGAAATTGTTTAATGAGAAGGCAGTTCAACGTTGGAAATAATACTTGTCCCAAAGGAGTGACCCTTGTTTATGCAATTAAGAATACCATAGGTGCTATCGAAATTGACGATTTCATAAAAAAATATAATAATAATAGTAAAAATAATTTTACTACAATGAATGAAAAGAAAATAGCACTATTGTATAGTGCAACAAATCAATGTAAGATAAAGATCCCGGATTCGAATCCAACGGCCCTGCATACGAATCTGACATACTTACAAATGCGCTTTTTTTCAAACAATTAAGTAAACAAAATTGTGAGACAAATGGTGTTTCTTTTACAAGTTGATAAAATATTGTGGGAATGAAAAAAACCAAAGACAATTTTAAAAAATTATACCGAACAAAGAAACGATATTAAATGCGTTATAAATTAAACTAATAAATTGCAGGGAGCGTCGGTGCCTGCAACGTTTGGGCGTTGACACGGCGCTCATCACTATAAGGAGAAGGTCCCGGGTTCGAATCCAGCGGCCCTGCATTCGAACCCGGCATACTTACAAATGGGCTTTTTGTCAAAACCACCTGCACTCCGAGGGTTGATATAATCTCTGCTGTTGCGAACCCTCGTTAAAAAAATAAAAAATAAATTACAAATCGAAAATTGATTATCAATAAGTTTAATAAGTCACGTTGTTTCGAAAAATAAAAAAAATATATCTTCTTTTCTGAAAAATCTCCTTTTCATTTCCGACAGCAAATAACTTAAGACAACTTTAGCGATGTACGCCGATAAAACCCCATCTTTCTGCAAATATTAAGCAAAACTCTCCTCAACGTGTTTCGTTGTAAAGTTGGAGAACGTTTTTGCTTGGGTCGATAAGATACAGTTTGTTCCAGAGATACCACAACGCTACGGCATACAAAATACAGTGCATAAGTCATTGGAATTGTTCCGTTGACCTTTTGTTTATGGTTTTTTAATCTTTCGGCGGTTTATGAAGACTATTTCCAGTGTGAATCTAAGTTTCAGTTTGAACTCGATGTTTTAAAAAAAAACTGTATAGGGCGTCTTAGAGAAAGTGCGAAAAAGATTTTTGAGTGATAGTACATCCTATTTGAACAACTTTCAACGTGTAGTCCCTATATTCACTAACGAGCTACCTTGTTTTTTCTTTTTTTTTTCTTTATGGAAACCTTACCTTACTGGAGAATAAGAAAAATATCCATCATCAATGCTAACACAGTTGTGTATTTAACATTACATTTCCTTTATACAACTGTTGTGTAATAATTTTCAATTAAGAACCTTAATAAATGATAAAATTTGAAAAAGTATACAAAGTTTGGTTTTTAAGAAGTAATGTATAAGTAGGCAAACCCTTATGTTTAATCCGAGAGAATGTTAACTGCCAAAAGGGTCATTATTTATTAAGCTTTCAAACGGTCTATCTATAACCCCTCTCCTGATTTAGTAGACTAGTTGCCAATCAATTGTTGAAAAACGAACAAGGCTCAGGTGATGACGATGAATAAAAATATTGTTTTCAAGTTTTTTTAAAATTTTATCAACAATGAATTCTTAAAGATTTACAAGCATTAAGCTTACAAATTGTTTTCAAAATAATGACCACGATGTCTGACCCACATCGCTGCTCCTTTTTTCTCATGGCACCTACACTCGTATAGATAAATTGGTTCTAAGTTTATCAGATTTTCGAGAATTTTAACCCTTAAATCTTCAGCACTATTCATTACTAAACTGTACACTTACACTCAACAAACCCAAGTGCATTTGTAGAGGAGAGTCATCCCATTTCGTTCCCCCGATCTAACTGTCATGGATTTCTGCGTTTGGGGATTCTTTAAGGAGAATGTGAAAAGATCAGTAGTAAATAAAGTGGGGTTTAAATCCAAAACTGTGTTAGCCGTGATGATAGATAGTTGAGTTTTTCTCAAGTAAGGTAACGTTTCCATGGAAAAATTAACAAAAATTGTAACTCGTCAGGGACTGACGACAGATATATCTTGGAAGCTTTTGTAATGAAACTATCACCCCAAAAACCTACCTGTCTTCAGTCCCTGAGGAGTTTTTGTTAATTTTTCCATGGAAACGTTACCTTACTTGAGAAAAATTCAACTGTCTATCATCACGGCTAACATGATAGATGGCTGAGTTTTTCTCCAGTAAGGTAACGTTTCCATGGAAAAATTAACAAAAATCGAGTCTCGTCAGGATCTAAAGACAGGTATATATTTTGGAAACTGTTGCAAATAGTGTACTATCACCCCCAAAAAAATTGACGCACTTTCTCTAAGTTACCCTGTATGACTTTATTTGTTCAGGCGGAAGTTGGCCTGCTGAATCCAGAAATTATGAAAACAGTTTTGCCCTACGTGCATAAGTTAAAAGCACATAAGCCAACCATTAAAAAAAAAAAAAAAAAAAAAAAATATTGACTTAAATACTGAAACAATATGGTTCTGCAGTCACTCATAATGTGTCAAAATTTAAGATATTTTCACACCCAAAATTTAAAAAAAAGCTTTATTCCGTCCTGTCAGATTCTAAATAATAAGAGGGATACTTTTGGGGTTTTTTCAAGTTAAAATTCAAGTTCTCTGTAAAAACGGGCATATCGCTTGGACCCTTAGTCGTACAAGTCATTTTAACAAGTCTTTAAAAGCTTTTTTCGTTTTTATTAAGGCAATATTCATATAATTTCATTGTACGGACTTTTACGTTTAAATAGAAGAGAGAAAATTTTGAGAAAACCACTGTTATTAATATGCTTCTCTACGGTTTGTTCGAGTTTGCGTTTTTGGTTTAAATTGTTCAAGAAAATATGCAAGAATATGGGGGGGGATGCAAAGTATTGGGTGAAAGGAGGCGGAGGGTTTGGTCAAACGAGCAATTTACGTACATTCCCTCACAATCAGTTATTTACGGCCCTTAAAATTTGGATCCTGTCAAAAGAAAGATAATGAAATTTTCGTGATTTGAGATTTTGGTTTAGTTATGGCAGTGAGAAAGCTTTTCATGAAACTCAACCAAGATTTATCTCTCTTATTATTGAGAATTGTGAGGGGGGGGCCAAGAGAAACATTTTTGTTGCATTTTGAATGTAGAAATACCCCTTGACTTGTGAAAAATTATTCGTGAATCACCTTTTATAAGTGTAGTATATATTATCATCTATATCATCATGATATTTGTATATTCTTAGGTAATCGTTTATTAACAACAAAAAAATTACCCGGGTAATGTAGGCCGGTCGAAAATAGTAAAAGACAAGCAATGAGAGCAGCAAAAGCCGGGGCGTCGTCCATCGTCGCAGTGTATCAAAAATATTTATCCATTAGCCCGGACATGTTCGCCACCGGTTTGATAATTACATAAAAATTTGGCATTAGGAAATTTTCAACACATGCTACAAACGGTTGTAAAATATTAATAAAATGTATTTGCTATTGATACAGTTGTAACATACATTGCCCTATAAATAACGTTGTGCATACCCAATAGATCGCAACTGAAAATATTATCGCGTTCACGTTCCGCCTGTCCAGATGCCACAGGTACACGTTACGAGGTCGCACGGTTCTTCCGTACTTACCGCAAATACTAGAGGAACGTAAAATATTACTGCTCCTTTTCAGTTTGACTTCTAAATTCAACAAATTATTTCTCATTGCCAGTATAACCTTTTACAAAATAGCACACAAAAATATATTACGGAATAAAACACCTGCGAATGTTTTTATTTACTGATCATTTTAAAACTCCTACAGATGACTAATAAACAAGGATTCATTTACCTTATATAATATTAGTGAATGAAGTAAAGAAATATCAGTTATTCCGAGATGACTAATAATTAACACTTTATTTATTACACCATTTATTACTATTGAAATATAGAAATGTTGAACTTCGGCGTAAAGTCATGTGCCAACGGAAAATCTTCCAGACTGGTGAGATAAACTGCCAAACATTAAATTGTCAAATGAAGCAGGCAAATTTGTTTTTTAAAGATAATTCAAACCTGGCATTGCGAACATCCACGTGGAAGTGAGCAAAGCGAGCAGTCCGGCCATTATCATGGGCACGTTGCTGATAAATATCATATAGGGCAAGTCTAGAAAACTTGTTTATTAAAAACTAAAAACTGTGTTATTTTCGTTAATAGCTTACTACTTGGTTTTTATTTATTGTTTTATATCAAGAATAAAACTTTTAATTTAGTCGTAATCATCCTGGCATGCCTATGTTCAGTGTGTTGATTAGTTTGAAGCGTTTTGATATTTTGCTCTCTTTAACGGACAGGGATGTAAACAGAATGAGGCAGAAACACAAACCACCACTTAAGTTGGAGAAATGATGAAACGCGAAACCAACACAGCGAGAATAGGCAGTCAAAAATACAGCTTTATTCTGAGCACACTGAGAAATGTGAGAAATGTCACAAAGGATAAAATCGCCTTCAGAAACAATTATCAAATTCAAAACAAAATTTATCGTCCACCAAATTTCAACGTTAAACAAAACAGAAATATTTTGTTATACGTTATAAAAATCGTATTTCTTACCTACTGGCATTGCGAACCGTTTACCATATGATCAATGCACTTTGTGATTATCAGACGAATAAATATATTAGAAAAAATATATTTTGATTGATTGATTGAAAACAATGGATCTACTCATATCGAGGTGCAGAACGCCTTGTGGCCGCCTCTTTTATCCATTTTATCCCAATATTTTTTGAAATCATATTTAGAAATATTTCGCCAAACTACGATATTTCAGTGTTCCACCTAAAATAAATTATCTGAAAATAAAGCGAAAAATTGTACACTAAGTAAAAAAAAGAAAAGTGTATGGCGTGTATATTTTGTATGACGGTTTTCTCGTTAAGAAAACCAAATTTCACTTTCATTTTTTATAAATTGCAATATTTTTGTATGTGTATATGCCCAAAGACAAAAACTCGGACACTCGTATTTTGTTGTTTATTTCAAACTATATGTATTTTTACGGTTATTATGTATTATTACAGCACTTTAAGTACTTATTTTAATGAAAACCAAATTAAACGGGATCAGAAATTCACGAGTTTTATGAAAATTAATTATAATGGTTTGAAAGAACATTCACCTAACCACCGGAAAAATCACGTGGTGATTAAATAAATGATTAGTTTTTAAATATATGATTTTTCGGTGTATTGGTAGATTTTATTTCAAACCAACATAATTAAATATTTTTGGGGAATGTCAGTGGTCGGTATAAGGTAAAGGACCCCGGTTCAAATCCAGCGTATCCGACATACAATTTATTTAACACCTTAACCCCGGGGATTGATATGACCTGCGCTGTTGCGAATCCCCTTTAAAATATTCATTATATTGTGTGTTTTTCAATCCGGTTTGCATTAAAATAAGTATATTGTAATAAATATAACGATTACAATGAAATTTTTTAGTATATATTTATTAATTTATTTTATTTTATTTATTTTCTGACAAGAAATTTTATTTTAGTACACCTTAGTGATTATATTCTTAAATTTGCTACGTTGGTAAATTTGCTTACTTTTGATCATATTTAACGTTTCCAAAGTAGGCCATAAATCTATTTTCTAGAATATGTTATTTAAAATACGTTTATGGTAAATCATAATATTTATTTTCAAAACTTGCTATATCTCTTTCTTTTTTTTAAATTTATGACTTTATAACTTTTTTCAGAGTCACGTAGAAAAGAAGCACTCAGGCAAAAGAAAAGAAGAATCAGGATGGATCTTCTATAAAATATATTCGGTATGTATCATCGTAATCTTTGTTTTATTTTTTTTAATATATTAGCGACAAAGCTGAAATCTCAGCTCCAATATTGATGTATTTTTGAGGTGTGAAATTTAATTACGTTCGTAATTCAAATGTTTTCATTAGATATCACGTCCTTAATCGAAAATGCCTCTTTTCTTTCTACAGCTCACTGATTTGAAATTTCATGGGCATTTTTTAATCAACGCTTTTGATTGGCTTATCTGAAAAAGGTCTTTTTTCTTTCATGTCACGTATAAATTTTACTTTTCTTACAACTCGTGTTTCTTTCTCTTCCTCACCCTCTCTCGTTTCGTTTGTATCATTTAAAAAATAAGTAAATATATCGTGAAATTTTGAAAATTTCCGCCAGCTCAACCTGCCTTGTTTTAAACGGATACTTAACAAAATCTTTACATGAAAGTAAGTATTGCTATAATTTGACAACTACGGATTTTAGAAGGTAAATTATCTGATATTAAAAGTTTACGATGCTGTTTAATATGAAAATAACATGAAAAAATCCAGGAATAAAAAATAAACAGTTTTTCAATTTTTAGGTTTTTAACATTTTTTCCATCCACCTTTCTGAGTCAACAATCCTTCGCTATTAAAAATTCATAAGTATAATTATTTAAAATAAAAAATTCTAAAACTACCTACTACTACACCAATCTCCCATATTTTTCTGCCCTTTCAAAACTCTCAGTCATAAACCTAATCCCTAAATTAAACTTCGTTAATTCCCCTTACCTACCTATATCTTACAGGCCCATCAATTGATTCTCCGTTCCTGGCAAATTCCCTGGGGAACTCTTCGTCGAAGGTTTAATCATATTCTAAAATCCCAGTCCATAACACTGCAATCTTCAATAGGGTTTTCAACTCGACACCACACTGTACAACAGTGTCATCATGTTGGAGACCTATTTTGCGCATAAATAATATAGCCCGGGAATATTTCTTAACGTCGCACAAGCTTTTGATAAAGTATGCCTCGAAGGGCATCTTTTTAAGCTCAATTGCATCGTACCCAACACCTGCTATCATATCCTCAAATCCTAACATTTTAACTGACATTTTCAGTTGTGCAAGGACCTTGCACTGTCTACTATCCTCCCAGTTAATGTAACCATGTTAATATTGCAGGTCTTACCCACTACACTCATTATATATATGACAAAACTATCATTTTCCCCATACTGCTCCTATCATCCTCTAAAGCCACATTTCTTTGTTGAAGGATGGTATAAAAAGTGGAAGAGAAAAGTAACCTCAATTAAAATTATATTTGATTCACCTCTATACCTCGATGATTGGCACTACCTTCTCTCTACCAAAGACCTTCTTCCCCACGACGATTCTGTAAAAGTAAGTATATTATTTCTGGGCGGACTTCTGACGTGAAATCCCACGTCAGACTGAAAAGACTTGTACTGAGCCAACGGTAATTTCTAACCGTTTTCTAACTTGGCTAAAAGCTGGATTTAAGGACAAGAAATTTTGGGTTCAACTAAACGCTCTAACATCGGTAAAATCCAGACCCAACAATCCAAAATTATGTTTAAAAAATTGTCGATGCTCCTTCTACTTATCCAATCTGATTATCCACACCGATCTTAACATTCCTTTCGTCAGTCGGAAAATTTAAGTACAGCCAGATGTGAACTTTAAATTTCACCCATACTAATCCCCTTGGAAACTAACTTCCATCCGCCACTCTTTCAAACAATTATAGTAGAAACTCGATTGTTATCGGCAACGTGACTTCTTGGTGTAGTGTAAAAAGTGAGCTGAAACAATATCACCAACGGGTTTTGACTTCCTTGTGTAAAACAAACAAAGTCGCAAAAACTTACTTCTATATTCGAGTAACTAGCTCTGTTGAATTGCAGGCATTGTTATTGGTATGTCGCAAAAGCCCGGAGTAGGGCTAAATAGTTTCCTAAAGTTCTTTTTTACATCAGTGACCAAAGTTTAAACCAAACACATAACCGAAAACGATTTTCGTAAAGTTCCAAGACCCTAGCAATAGCATTTGTCTATACACGCATAAAAGGAGATGTTCCAAACCGATTAAGTCATTTTTCAAATATGTTTTTGCTGGTGTGATTTTCTATGTATGGCGTGTATCTTTTCTTTTCGGGCCCAACCCTGAATCCGGAGACCGGACAACAAGGTCCCAGAGGATTTTTATGATCGGGCCAGAATACTTTAATATAATATATCGATCAGGCACCTTTTTTTACGATAAATTAAATTCAAATATTCAATACAATACCAAAATAGATATAACACCAAAATATTCAAAACAACTAAAAGAAAAATGGAAACAAAAAAATTCTTTATTCGCTAAAAGTTTATTTATAAAATCAAAGAAATAATTTGAAAAAAAAATTTTATTACATTTATTTGGTATTTACAACTACAAGTGATGTATTAAGTAAATATGTTCGTATATGCTGAATTATGATTTGAGGCTCTTGTAGGAGAAGTTGCCCAGTGATAACACTCCTTCACACTGATATCTTGTTCAGTCTTCAAACAAGGAGAAGGTCTCAGGGCCTCTTTCGCTTCAATCGTCTTGGAGGATTTTCAGGTAGGGTTGGAAGTGATAAATTTCGTACGAATAGATTACTGTGTGTGTTCAGTGATCGATGAAATTTTTTATATCGGATTTTGATGAGTTCGTGTACAAACGGGATGTATAGGTCTTTATGGATAGTGTAATTTGAAACGTAAAAAGGAGCATTTATAATTTGACGGAGAATCTTAGATTGGATTGATTGGAGACGCTGGGAATTGGAATCCTTGGTTGAGCTCCACACTTCACAACCGTATGCCCGAGAGGTCTAATCATTGTCTTGTAAATTAAAAGTTTATTTTCAAGGTCTAATTTTGATCGTGAGTCGAGTAGTCTTTTTAACAATTTATAACGTCGATTTGTTTGCTGTCTTTTCAGTCTTGTATGGGGATTTCAAGTAAGTCGTTTATCCAAGAAAAGTCCAAGATAACTCACAAGGTCAATGGTAGGCAATGGAATTCCATTTATATTCACCGCAGGACAGACATTTTTACGTAAGGTAAAATTGATCTGTGTGCTTTTTGTTAGGTTTACCTTTATTCTCCACTTTGTGAACCATTCATTCAGGTGTTGTTGTAAGTGTTGAGTGGTAAATGAGGGGTCCGAATTGCGTGTAAGAATCGGTGTATCATCAGCGAATGTATGTGTCGAAATGTTAACATGTGTAGGAATATCTGCAGTGTGTATGGAAAATAGAAAAGGGCCAAGTATTCTTCTCTGAGGAACGCCCGCCCTTATGCGTGTATAAGGTGAGAATCCAGTTAAGATCTCACTATAAGATAGTACGTGTGAGGGAGGATGTTCCTCAGTTTCCAAAGCAAGCCCGAGTCAGACTCAATCGAAGGCCTGTTCTAAATCAAGAAAGACACCCAAGCAATGCTGTTTTTGTTCGAGGGAAGAGGCTATATTGTCAGCAACACGATGTAATTTTGCGTTGTCGAGTGAAATGTACGGAACCCAAACTGATGATCTGGAATACTATTAGAATTTTCAATTATTTGCAGTAATCGTCGGAGAAGTAGTTTTTCTAGTATTTTGGCAAGGATAGAAAGGATACTAACGGGTCGATAGGAATTTGGAAGATCAGAAGGTTTATTTGGCTTATGAATCATTTTAATTATAGAGAACTTCCATTGCAATGGAAAATATGTGGTCCTGAGTACAGCGTTGTATAGGTATGTTAAGTATAGTAAGCCTCTGTGGGGCAAATTTTGTAATAATTGTGTTATAATTAGATCAGAACCTGGAGCTTTTCGTGAAGGTAGTTGTTTAATAGTGTGTGAAAATTTGAAATCTTTTATACCGAAACCAATTTAAATGTAAAGTTAAATTTTCCTTCTAATTTAATTTATTCGTTATAATGAACAAAGAGTAAAACTTATTTTAATTTAAAGAATTTTTTTTATATTTTGTAATAAAACCTATTTGAAAAACCTACAATTTTTACAATTAANATTTATTAATTTTAAAATCAAATTTAATTTATTTTATAAAGAAAGGTAAAAGTTTTTTTTTTGTTACGACCTATTTTAAAATAAAATTAAACTTTTATCACAACTGTTAAAATCAAACGTTATTTATTTTTTCATTTACGTTTTAGTGGTCAATTGACCAAGTTACATCTTTTAATTAATAATTCTTTCCCTTTAAGGTCTTGGTTGAGATAAAAAGTTAGCGTCAAGAGCGGTTTAAACGGTCGTAGGATTAGATGGAGAGTCCGAGAGCAGCGGCGTATTTAGCCGAAGGTCGTGGGTTCGAATCCCGCTCGTGATGCTGACTTTTTTATCTCAACTAAGGCCTTACATGGAAAGAATTATTAATTGAAAGATGTAACGTGGTGAATTGACCACTAAAATGTAAATGAATTAATATTTAATAAGTAAAAGAAGTATCACTTCACTAAACAGCTCCCCGTGGCCAGTTCATAAATCGCTGAGAATCCAATCCGATTACACATTTGAAAATAGCAAAAAGATGGAAAATTCCAACGTTTTTAGATTGAGATGTAGAGTTGGTGTCTGAGAGGATCGAAGTCACGATAGCTCAAGTGGTAGAGCAGCGGCGTATTTAGCCCAATGTCGTGAGATCGAATCACGCTCGTGAGCTGAATTTTGTATCTCAATCAAGATCGTACTTGGAAGGAATTTTTATTTATTTTATTTTTCTTTATAAAAATATTTGTCTTTAGTTGCAACTCTTTTAAACTAAAATACAATTTTTTTTGACGTCAAAATAAAAAATAGACTCACTTGATTTGTATGCACACCAATTATTTTTCTTTTTAGAAAAACAGCTCCTTAGCCAACGAAGGACAGAAAGGGAATAGCCCATTCCTTGTCCCTACTCCTTTGCTCACTGCTACATGCATGTGGAGGGACAGGCTGTACATTTAAATTTAAACGTGACACTTGTACATATTTCTTCCTCAGAAAAAAAACTTTGTTGACGGATAATAGACAATCTTTATAAAAATTTCAGTATTTTCTGAACCTTTTTAAACAACTTCAATTTGTCTTGTTTGTAGAGTTAGCAGCCGACAGAGGGAACAGAGAAGACTTTTTACGGTCAATAATGTTTGTCTTTGTACACAATTACTTTTTTATTTCTCCTGAAATCTTTCTAGTATACAAGGTGTTTTTATTTTATTTTTATGTTACTTACTTTTTAGTTTCTAACGAGTGCATTATTTGTCTTATTATTCCTTTTAAATTTTAAGGAAAAAAATATTTTTAATACGTTTTGATATTTTATTAGTTCTTCCGGGAGCAGTGAAAACGTTGGAAGAAAATCCTGTGATCGTCAAGCCGTAGAGATGGGTTGTCGTGGAGATTGCTCGTCGGATAAACCGCCGCCTCTCATCTGTGGCAATATCTTCCCCGGAGCTCAACGACTGAGAAAATCGGGGGAACTGTTAATAAAAACGGCTGGGAATTCCGCAAAAACAGAGAGGGAGTCGCTGGAGAGGAAGATGTGGGCAAATGTTATCCCTTTCCGATTTATGCGGTGATTTCGAAATGCTTTCCGCGTTAAATAGAGAGTGATATAAAAGGGTAATTTGAACTTACCTTGCAAATTATTACAGAGTGTTTGTTTCCCACTCAACGCCAAAACCAAAACTTTATGAAAAACATCTTTTTTGCATATTAATATTTCGATATTTAAAGAAATCATGACAAGATAAATGAAGTAGTTTCAAATTTTCCTTCTCATAACATAACATTAATAAAAATGTTGTAACATACAGTGCTTATTTTTTTCTGACGTAATTGGTACATTAATATTATTTAACAAATAAAAATTTAAATATTTCTAGTTTTGTAACACCTTTTATTTTTATTGTCTCAATTTAGTCATTAAATTAAATAAAAAGTTATTTTTTATTTAAAATAATAAATTTTGGTTATCATTTCAATTCACTAGTTTCGTGGTCCGCTTGACCAATAAATATTAACCAGTTAATTAATTTTTAGTTGAGATAAAAAAGTCAATGGCACGAGCCGGATTCGAACCCACGATCTTCGGCTTGATACGCTGCTGTTCTACCACTTGAGCTATCGTGACCTCGATCCACTCTGACACCAAATTCCCATCTCCACCACACCTTTTGAATTTTCCCTCCTTTTTGCCATTTTTCAAATGTCGTGTAATCAATTTGATTCTCGGCGACAAATGAAATGGCGACGGAGAGCTTTAGTGAAGGTATACTTAATTTTAAACTTATTCAATTCACTGGTTTCGTGGTCCGCTTGACCAATTAATATCTTACAATTAATTAAGGTTTTCAGTTGAGATAAAAAAGTCAATGGCACGAGCGGGATTCGAGCCCACGATCTTCGGCTTGATATGCCACTGCTCAACCATTGAGCTGTCGTGACCTCGATCCACTCGGATAACCAACTTCAGAAGGATCCTGGATCGAGGTCACGATAGCTCAAGTGGTAGAGCAGCTGCGTATTTAACCGAAGGTCATGGGTTCGAATCCCGCTTGTGCCATTGACTTTTTTATCTCAACTAAAAACCTTAATTAATTGGTTTGGTTATAATGCTTTCGAGCAAACAAGCAGCAATATAATATGGAAATAACTTATTTTTATTTTTATTAGGTTTCGTGGTTCGCTTGACCAAATAGATTCTTTTCAATTAATTAATCGTTATGTAAGGTATTGGTTGAGATAAAAAGCCAGTGTCACGAGCGGGATTCGAACCCACGACCTTCGGTTAAATACGCAGCTGCTCTACCACTTGAGCTATCGTGACTTCGATCCACTCGGATACCAACTTCCCATCTCAACCGCACCTTTTGAGTTTTTTCTCCTTTTTGCCATTTTTCAAATGTCGGGTAATCAATTTGATTCTCGGCGACAAACGAAATGGCCACGGAGAGCTTTAGTGAAGGTATACTTAATTTTAAACTTATTCAATTCACTGGTTTCGTGGTCCACTTGAGCAAATAAATTCTTTTTAATTAATTAATCTTTAATTAAGGTTTTGTTGAGATAAAAATAATGCAAATAATAATGAAATAATACTTAAAATTGTAACAGTTTAGAAGAGGGGTTTAGCATTCGCCTTGTGTTTGCCTCGCTAGATGGCATAGACCATAGAATTTTAATTGAGTATAATATAATAAAAAAAGCATTTTTTTAAGGGGGCGCAGTTTTCCCCGCGACACCCAACTGGTTGTTAAGCCTTTTTGTCTGATAGGAATTGTCTTACTTGATTTTTTCACTTTTGGTTAACGTTAAGATTAAAAGAAGACAACTCCTTTACAAACTTGCGCACCACGCCAAATATTGGCATATTATGCAATCTCCATCTTGTCGGGAGCTCTTCGTTAAGCTTAAAGCTTTTTTATCAGATAACAAAGCTTGGCTAAGGGCTACTGTGTGTATCCTTCAAGCCCTGCCTTTTCCTTTCCAGGAGTGTAAAAAGTTTTTTTTTAATGTTTATTTATTTTGCGTTGTATTTGGTGACACATAAATAAAAATTTTCATGTGAATGATAAACTTTTATAAACATTATATAATTTTATATCATAAAAATTTTCATGTGTAGGTATGATAGATTTTTTAAACATTATTTTATTTTACATTGTAGGTAGATAGATGGAAATACTTTATTTTACATTTTTGAACTCATCATGAAGCATGTAAATGAAAGTATGTACAACATGGAATTAAATCCGTTTGTCGTCGGAGAACGTAAATTGAACACTAAACATAAAACTCTGGACAAACATACATTAATTGTAGAACATAAAAAGAATAGAAATAAGTACATAGAAAAGTAATGACTTTTTCATCCAAATCATTAACTTTTTTTATAATTATGGCATTAAATGAAGGAAAGGTGTACACGAAATTAAAAATTAAATTCCTGATCTAAATATCTCTAGTTCCAGGCGTTGCGTGCAAACCTTGAGGGCCCGGGGATCCGAACAATTTAATAGCTCAATGATTTAGGCTCTTGAGAGAGTGAATAACCCAAGGTGTAATAGACGAATCTCTCCTAAAATCGAACACTCAGTTAGGAAGTGAAGAATTGTCTCAATTTACCGCTAGTTGCACAAAGAACAAATTCCATTCCTCCCTCTTTCCAAAGAGCAGAGTTCAAATGGAGTATCTCGCAACGAGGTTATAAAAGCCGACGCAACTCAGATAGATAAGCCCGACGAAATTTATTTCTTTTAAATTAAATAAACTACATGAATTGTAGGTAGGTCTTTAAACAGCAAGAAATTATCTGAGGATTGAGCACGGCGCATCGATTCAGTTCTATAATGCTCTTTTATTGCCGACAACAAAGCTGAAAACAGATCTGGCTATTTATGAAGGTTATCAAGGGTTGGGGTGGTTAGGGAGAGTTTATGGAATGGATATAGCCAATGTGCATACCAAGAAGTCTTTGACCGTATGATTTCTAACGCTGTTATTTTTACAAGCCTGGAATCTGAAAGATGCAAGGTTTTAAGAATAGGTGAGAAAAGTGAAGCTGTAAGGTGTGTATGTATAGTGGGTCTTGAAATGTGTCTAAGTACATCATGTAATTAAGGGTTGGAGTTAAATAAATTACGGACAAAATATCTTAGAACTTGTTCTATTGAATCAAATTGTTGATAGCCCCATACCTGACAACCGTAACATAGAATCAAACGTAATACTGAGTTGAATACTTGATATTTAACTTTTAATGGAATGACCTCTTGAATGATTAAGAAGGACTAAGTCTTGTTAATTGCAAACTTTGTTAATGATTCCTTTTTCTTCAAATGATTCGACCACTAAAATCTGTTGGAGAGAAGAACACCAAGATATTTATACTCATTAACCACATCTATTCTTTCCCCTTTATAATACCAACGGTCCGAAGACTCTTCTGAACACCTCTACGTTAGACGTTTTGAGGTTCACCGTTAAATTCCATTGGTCACAAAAAGCTTCTAATAGATTTATATTATTTTGTAGACCATGCGTGGAGTCAGCCATTATAACTATGTCGTCCGCGTAAATTAAAATGTTTATTATATTGCCTATTTTCATACCACACTCAAGAACGGATGGAAGTTCGTCAAGGGAAGGGGCGAACAGAATCGGACTTAGCAGGCACCCTTGCCTAACCCCACAATGAACTTCAAAGTATTTTGAGAGCACTTTTCACAATATTTCTCTTCCACGAATCCCCGCCGCCACTCAGATAATAATAACTGCTTCATAACTTACGGATTCCCATTTTTTCGTCACCACTGAGTGTTTATTACATCCGAATTGCTTGCATTTTTTCACGTTTGATACCATCTTTATTGTCGTAACCAGAGAAAAGAAATCATCGACCGTCAGGAAAAACGTTTTGCTCTTCTTCCCGCCTACGAAATTTTTTCAAAATATCGTAAATAAAAACAGTGTTCGCGTCCAGTTTGCTTACTTCCACACAGAAACTGAATGCAAACTGAACAGTGAGAGCTTTTGGGCAATCGGAATGCGTGTAGTAGGACAAAGCATTTTTGGTTATTTGAGGGAGTAAAGTGACTTATAATTATATTTGAAAATTACCAAATACATTATCCAAAAATGGCAAAAAGGAGGGAAAATTCAAAAGGTGTGGTTGAGATGTGAAGTTGGTGTCCGAGTGGATCGAGGTCACGATAGCTCAAGTTGTAGAGCAGCGGCGTATCAAGCCGAAGATCGTGGGTTCGAATCCTGCTCGTGACACTGACTTTTTTATCTCAACTGAAAACCTTAATTAATTGTAAAATATTAAATGGTCAAGCGGGCCACGAAACTAAAGAATTATCCATGATATTACATTCCTTGGCACTGTTAGAACTGAGACGGTCTTTAAAGAAACTTAAGATCGCATGTAGAAAAAACTTTAATATGTCAATCAGTAGACATATATAAGATTGTCTTGCTCTGATGATGACCTTAATAAGTCGAAAGCATGGCAGAAACAAATGATTTTTTTTTCTTGGAGACCATACCTTGACCAAGAGTGTTTGTGAATGAAAAAGTGGTCGACATAAAAAAAAATTATACGGGAGAAAAATTATGACGTGAATCGCGATCGCCAGGCCTAAATATACCCCCTTTATAACCACAAAATTAGCAAATACTATCTCCATTTTTGTTCAACATTTACAAAGAAAATTATTTTGTGTTCAGGAAAGACCTAATTGAGGAACACATTATTGGGTAGATTAACAAAATAATTTTAAAAAAAATAGACAATGCAATGCGTCTAGATTTATTTTAACTGTGTTTATTTAACTGTATTTATTTATTTGTCACTTATTGTAACTGTGTAACTTTATTGTCTTTCCAAAGTAATAATAAAATAATAGTTTGATCCTTTGCAATCATTTCGGTTTGCCAGATATTTTAGTGTGCCGTTTTATTCATCACTCCATCATTAGTGGTGAATCTGCGTTGAAATACGGTTTGAAACGTCCACAATTTCACAGCCCTTCAAACCTCATTATAAAGGCTCTTAATTCATAATAATAGTTAAGCTTTTTAGTGCACTGCCATTTCATCGTATAATCTCATGTAATAAATAATTTTCTATGTTGTTTAACCAAATTATTGTCATTCTTGCCTTTTTTCATTTCGGTGTTTTTTCTTTTTAAAAAAAAGTTGAGTCTCATTTGATTGTAAGGGCGCCTTTATTTCAACAAAATTCCAA